AGTTGCGCCTTGATCAGTGAAGATCAATGAGAAGCAATCTCTCGTTGATATCAAGGAATCGGAGTATATTATTTAAAAGAGAAAGTTGATTCAATAAAACAAGATCTTAAACAAGCAGAAGAAGATGGATGCTGTCATGCTTAGAGAATCATGTCGGAAAAAGGTATTGTTATAAGGAATCAATTTGCTTTTTGGTGATCAATTAATTAATCATAATGAATTACTTATTTAGGATCAAGAAATATCATTTACAAAGAATCAAATCAAAGACTTGAAACGAGATATTCAACAATTGGACACTGATTTAAAGGTTATTATTTAATTTAATATTTAAATTAATATATTAAGTATTTTAAGATAATCATAAATATCTTTTATTACTTTAGCATTACCTTAGTTAGCCAAAAAAAGTCTAGTCTTGCCGATTATCAACAAAGAGAAGAGGTGGCGAAAAATCTTTTACGGTCTAAAGGACAAATTCTTAGCAGCTTGATAAATCTCTAAGATAATGATTGTATAAGCGGATTATACGTAAGTTTAGTGGTCTATAAATTGTTATTGTTTTGCTGAAAAACATTTATTTAATTTTTTAATTAGGATGTTAAATACGATGTCGCGATTTCAACTGCCTGTCTTGCATTGAACAACATCGTGGTTGATTCTGTTGAAGTTGGACAAACTTGTGTAGAACATCTTGGAAAAACAATTTAGGTCGCGTCATATTCATTCTTTTGAATAACCAACCTATCTACCGTGAATATGCGCCCGATACAAACACCTGAAAATGTTCCCCGTCTTTTTGATCTTGTTAAGCCAAAAGATGATAAGTTTATCCCAGCATTTTATAGTGTGTTACAAAATACTTTGGTAGCCGAAAATCTACAACAAGCGAATAGGATAGCACTTGGTAAAACTCGATGGCTTGTAGTGACTTTAAATGGCGAATTGATTGACAAATCTGGCACTATGAGTGGCGGAAGTGCCCAAGTGTTGAAAGGTGCCATGAATATGAATTCAACATTTTCTTCCGACATTAAAAAGGATAAACCTCCTAAATTATAGTTTGAACTATCAAAGTTAGAGATGTATGCTGATGCTTGCGTAAAAAGTATTACCGATAATGAAAAAGAATAGTCGAGTTATGGTATGTTTAGAACTTTTTCACCAATAATTTCTTTGTAAAGGTTATGATTTATTATATCTGAATTTTTTTATTATAAATACTTATTTACATGGTTTCTAAATATTTGGAATGTTAAGTAAAAAAGAAGAATTAGATGAGATCAAGGAAAACTTGATGAAAAAACCGAAATTATTTAATCGGATTAGAGTGAGGGTTATATTTATATTTATCATTATTCTCTTAAAATTAAGTTGATCTTTTTTATGACTAATCAAACTATGTACTTTTTTAGTTAAGCCACGGAGAAATAATGGAAATATTCGGACGAAAATTTTTTATAGGGAGGACGATTCATGTGTGGATTCAATTTAATCTCTCAAAGAATGTATCAGGTACCTATGACATTTTTTATCTCAACATAAAATTTAAACAGTGGTTGTTTTTAGATGATTTCCCTTGGAAGAAATGCCGAGTTTGAATGTTGCGACAGCTTGGATCCTTTTTCCGAAGGCATTTCATTCGTGGATTCAATTTAATCTCTCAAAAACAGTGGTTATTTTTAGTTGATTGCTCTTGGAAGAAATGCCGAGCTTGATTGGATCCTTTTCCGAAGACATTATTTTTAGTGTTATATCGTTGGAAAAATATTTCGAACTTTTCTGGTGGAGAAAAGGTATGTTTCAATTTTAATTATACTTGATATATACCCTATAATAAAGCTTATCCGTGTTTCGTTTTCATGGTTTTTCCATGAAGGGCTCTTTTTTACGGAATTTATAATCTTAAATAACAGAAATTTTCATATCATTTATACAGATTCTGTGAAAGGCTCATTTCACGAAAATTTTAAGTAAGCATCTATATATGTTATGACGCTCAATTTATTGTTGTTAGTCTACGTTAGATCATAGGTTTATATAGGCAAATTTGACTGCTTATTTACTATAAATTCTCTTCTGATTTACTTTTATAAATAATTAATATTTTAAAAAAAAATTTTTTTTTAAATTAATTTTATAAATATTTAATATATTATAACAAGTTTTATTTTTTAATAATTATATATTAAAAAATTTAATGTTGCTTGGAAGCTAATTTTAAAAAGAATTTATATTAAAAATTTTGATAATGTTTTTAGAATTTACTTTTAATTATATTAATCATAATAGAATATATAAAATTAATGAAGAAATGAATATGAATTTATTGTTGAACTTTCACAAAATGCTTTATTGCCAAATGATATTGATGATGTAAATGATAATATTGAGGAAACTGAAGAAATTCAGAATGAAAAGAATGTTAGAAGTAGAGGTAGAGGTAGAGGTAAAGGTAGAAAAAGGAGAAATTATCATATTAGAAATGAACAAACTTTAGAACTTCCACCTCCACCTTCTTTTGATATTTTACAACATTCCAAACCTTTACATAAATTTACAGTAACTTTACCATATGAATACCAACTTAATATACTGACTTCTTATTCAATTTTTAATCTTTTTTTTTCTTTAGAACAAATAAAAATAATTGTTAAAAACACAAATACATATGCTTATATAAAGGATGCAGGAAAAGGACGCAAATGAAAAAATTTAATAGTATAGGAATTTAAAATTTGGTTGGCAATATTAATATATGCTAGTATTTTTAAATTACCTAGTATTCAGGATTATTGAAATAAAGATAGTAAATATCCTGAATATAGAATTTCAACTTTCATGTCATTGCTTCGCTTTAAACAGGTATTATTAATTTGATTTTATTAATATTTTATTAAATTTAATTAAACATTTTCCTTATTAATTAATTTAAAAAATTGTGTTTATTAATAAATTTAGATTAATCATTACATGCATATTTCAGATTATACAACTTCTCCTAAATTTTGGTATTCTAAAATAGATTCTTTGGCAACCTATATTAAAAACGATTTCAAAATCAATTTGTATTCCATCATCAAATATTTCAATTGATGAAATAATAGCTAGGTTTTCTAAAAGAAGTGCTCACACTGTAAGAATTAAAATAAACCCATATTTAAAGATTATAAAATTCTTTCTCTCTGTGATGCTGGTTATATCTATACTTTTATTTTTACGTCTAGAATTCAGAATCAACCTGAAGTTCAACAAATCTCAAATTTAAGTAAAGTAAGAAGTGAAGTCTATCATTTTGTTTCTCAATTACCAAAGAACAAATCATTTAATGTTTACATGAACAATTACCTTTTTAGCATTAAACTTTTTAGCTATTTGCGTGAAAAAAAATTGAAACATGTAATACCGTTTGTAAAAATAGTGCAAATTTTTTCAAATTTTTAAAGTAGACAAAAATTTAGATTGGGATATGCTTTCTAGAATAGTTGTGAATAATGTATTAGCCATCTTATGAATAGACAATAGGTCAGTAACTATGCTTTTAACTATTCATCAAATTGATGAAAATAAAAATCAAAATCAAATTGAAAAAATGCGACATTGACCATGAGAGACAAGCACTAATGCAACGAAAGTTTAAGCAGTTTTTGGAATTACAAGCAAAAAATCCTTACCTATTCCTATCATAATTGATGATTATAATCATTTCAAAGGTAGTGTAGATATTGCCGATCAATTACAAGGATATTATAGTACTCAATTATCAGTACAAAGAATTTGAATGCTATTGTTTTTTTGGTTATTAGATAGTACAATAATTAATTCATATTTAATATTAAAAAAAAGTGGTATAAACATTACTCAAAAGGATTTTAGGATAAAATTAGTGTGGGATTTAATTAAAATCAGGTTAGAAAATGAAGAAAAGTTACATGTATGTATATGAAGCCAAGTTGATGAATTAATAAATCAATTTGAGTTTATTCAAGTTGATTTTTCTAAAAAAAAAGCAATATGTTACAAAAAATTTTGAACTTTCTTTAATGAAATTATCACCAGATGATCATTTTTCTGAATGGAGAGAAGCAAGAAGTAACTGTATATGATGCAAATATTTAATAAAAAAAGAACAGAAAAAGATATCGAAAAATCCTCTCCAATCATAATTATATTGTATAAAGTGTAATTTAGCTTTATGTTGTAATAAGAAAAGAAGTAATTGTTTTAAAGATTATCATACTCAAATGGAAAATGATAATTAAAATAAAGTTTTTTATTAAATTTTTAGTTTAAAATTAATTTACTCATTTTGCACTTTTTTTATGAATTTTACGAAAATTATTCATTTTTTAAATCTCTATATAAAGTTAAAATCCTACATCTAAACCTTAAAAAGTAAATAATAAAAGTTGCTCATCGTAACAAATTTTATATATTATATTAAAACACTACAGTTCACCTTTCTATAACGAATCATATATATCAAAAGTCTCACTTCACTATAGTAAGGGAATTCGTTAACAATATATAATGAATAAAGATAAGAATTTTACTATACTAATATACTCTATGCTAATTATTGATTTAACACATTGATTAACAAAGCAAATATTATGTTACTCAAATATCTTACTTTATTAAGTAATGTTATTACCAATAACCAACTTGCTATATATTATTTATAAAGAATATTCTGATCAAGTTGATATTTAATAAACCATCTTCTTCATAATTATTAAAAACTAAACTCATTAAAATATGAAACCTCAAAATTAATATTTTCTATATCTATAATATTATTATTAATATCCTCTCTGTTTATATTTCTATAAACTGATTTTCTAACTATTTCATTGCTTTTAACGTGTTTTTATTAACAATACTTTGATTATCATCTTGTTTCAAATAGTCAAAAATTTTATCAAATGCATCTAAAGTAGTGATACCTAACGAAATTACCTTTCTTAATATGATGAAATTGACGAAACCAAAATAATGAAACTAGTTTTTCATTAATGACGAAATTATTTTACTTAATTGCCAAAATTATATTTAACTTGATCTAAATTCCTTAAATTAAAATACATTAAAAAATATAATAATTTTATATTTATTCATATAAAAATATTAAAGAGACGAAACTTTTGACGAAATTACAATTTTTCAAAAAAGAGTTTAGTTAAGTATCACTAATCTAAAGCTTCAGAACTAGCTACTAAAATAATATTCTTATTATCTTCATCATCAGAAATAATAATATTTTCTTTGAGAATAACAACAATTTGTTCTTCAGATAATGGTATACCAGTATTCTCATTTTCATAATCTAATCAAATATATTCTTCAGCAGTAAGAGGATTAGTATACTCAAGTTTATTGATTAGATCTTGAATTTCTCTAAATTCATTCTCATTTATCTCTTTATGCTCATCTTCTATTTCATTATAAGGATTTGTATCATTTGGTAAAATTCCTGTTTTATTCTAACAGTTGAATATAGTTTGAGAAAAAATTTTATTCCAGGCTAAAGCTACATATTTAATAGCTTTTTTAATATTAATTGGAGATTTGTTATGACCAGTTTCTTGTAGATAGTCAAAAGCTTTAATATAATTTTAGAGAAGTAATTTTAATTTTAACTTACAATATTTGCATTTTGTAAGCATAATATCGAAAAAATTTTAATTATCAAAATTAGTTTGAATTTTGGTACCTTAAAACTGTTTTTAATACCTTTATCATATGGTTGAAAATACACAGTGATATTAGGAGGTAAAAATTCAATTTTTATATTAGTTAATTCCACATCTTCATATAAAGCATGAACAGGCGTATTATTCACAATAAGAAGAATTTTTCTTTATTTTAATCTCATTGCTGCATCAAGCTGACGAATCCAAACATTCTAGATAGAAACTTGCATCTAAGCTGTTGAATTCCAGTACTATTCCACTGGCAAAAATGTTTTAGATAAATTTTTTAAAGGACGAGGATTTTTATATTTATGGATAAATACTGGTTTGAGTTTTTCTATACCAGTTGTATTAGAATAAAGAAAAATTGTTACACGCTCTTTTGATTATTTCTTCCTGATACAGGTTTATTAGAGATCGTCCTCTTGGGTTCCATTTTCC